TCCAAAAGTTCGCATAGCTCCGCAGGGACAAGGTACCCCAACAAGCCTAACCAAACCCTCCAAAACCCTCCAAACGCAAGGGCACCTTCCGGCCGCAGCAATGGCTTCTTATAGGCATTCAAGGCTGCCGTTTGCCAGGCCTCAAACCCTCCAAAACCCTCCAAACGCTCCAAAAGTTCGCATAGTTCCGCAGGGACAAGGTACCCCAACAAGCCCAACCCGCGCCCCTCCCGCACGCAAAAGCCACCACAAGGCCACAGCAATGGCTCAAGGGCACCTTCCGGCCGCAGCAATGGCTTCTTATAGGCGTTCAAGGCTGCCGTTTGCCAGGCCTCAACCCCCCCAAAACCCTCCAAACGCTCCAAAAGTTCGCATAGCTCCGCAGGGACAAGGTACCCCAACAAGCCCAACACGCGCCACTCCCGCACGCAAAAGCCACCACAAGGCCACAGCAATGGCTCAAGGGCACCTTCCGGCCGCAGCAATGGCTTCTTATAGGCGTTCAAGGCTGCCGTTTGCCAGGCCTCAAACCCTCCAAACGCCCCAAAACCCTCCAAACGCTCCAAAAGTTCGCATAGCTCCGCAGGGACAAGGTACCCCAACAAGCCTAACCAAACCCTCCAAAACCCTCCAAACGCAAGGGCACCTTCCGGCCGCAGCAATGGCTTCTTATAGGCGTTCAAGGCTGCCGTTTTTGCCAGGCCTCAAACCCTCCAAAACCCTCCAAACGCTCCAAAAGTTCGCATAGCTCCGCAGGGACAAGGTACCCCAACAAGCCCAACACGCGCCACTCCCGCACGCAAAAGCCACCACAAGGCCACAGCAATGGCTCAAGGGCACCTTCCGGCCGCAGCAATGGCTTCTTATAGGCGGTCAAGGCTGCCGTTTGCCAGGCCTCAAACCCTCCAAAACCCTCCAAACGCTCCAAAAGTTCGCATAGTTCCGCAGGGACAAGGTACCCCAACAAGCCCAACACGCGCCACTCCCGCACGCAAAAGCCACCACAAGGCCACAGCAATGGCTCCAGGGCACCTTCCGGCCGCAGCAATGGCTTCCTATAGGCGTTCAAGGCTGCCGTTTGCCAGGCCTCAAACCCTCCAAAACCCTCCAAACGCTCCAAAAGTTCGCATAGCTCCGCAGGGACAAGGTACCCCAACAAGCCAACACGCGCCACTCCCGCACGCAAAAGCCACCACAAGGCCACAGCAATGGCTCAAGGGCACCTTCCGGCCGCAGCAATGGCTTCTTATAGGCGTTCAAGGCTGCCGTTTGCCAGGCCTCAAACCCTCCAAAACCCTCCAAACGCTCCAAAAGTCGCATAGCTCCGCAGGGACAAGGTACCCCAACAAGCCCAACACGCGCCACTCCCGCACGCAAAAGCCACCACAAGGCCACAGCAATGGCTCAAGGGCACCTTCCGGCCGCAGCAATGGCTTCTCTTTTACATGTTCAGAATCCCGCCTGCAGCAGTCGACATGATGAACCAAAGACAAAGGCGGAACGGTAGCATTCAACCAATTCAACCCTTTTTCGGTGCGTTCAGTGCCACAGGAACCCCAGAAAAATATCCGGATCATGGAACTGCCACTGCTAGCCACGTTCAATGTGCTTTGGTTCAGTTTCCTGGTGGTGTTCCTGGTGATTACCCATAAATGTTGGTGATATCCCATTATATACATCCCCATCGGATGCCAAATCTCATCAAATCCGCATGGTTCTGCTAAGCCGTTTAAGCTGCAGAAATGCAGCCTCCGGTGACAACAGGTCTCAAGGCAACGGTCAAAAAATGCATAGAAACCATAGGTTGGTCATTCATTCCTATTGAATGATGCGATTTGTTGGTGAATTCCGTGTTCTTGTTTGTTGAGCATCCCATTTCTTCACGATCGAATCCAGCTGTTTGGCTTCAAAGCCCATGTTGGTTGTTGGCTGACCAACTCCCATTTGTTCCTCGTTGAATCCACATGTTGGCTGTCCAAATCAGACCATTCGTGGCCAAAAAACTGGCACATCTTGTCATTTAAACTGAAATCTCCTGAAATAATGTGGGATAGTTTCATGTACCATATATGTACCTATATCATATCCATATCCGCCGACCCCGGCCTTTGCCAAGGCAGGGGCGGCGCCTGGGACCACCGGAGGTGTGGAACTTGGCTCTCGGGTCGCAAGCAAAGGCACACGCCATCAAGACAACACCTCTGCCAGCTACATGCCCCAGCCATCTACATGCTCCTGCCGAACTCTTACACCTACATGCCCCTGCCATCTGTTTTTCAGGGGGTTCAAGACTGCCGTTTGCCCGGCCTCAAACCCCCCAAACGCTTCCGCAGCCCTCCAAGGCAACAACTCTTACAGCTACATGCCCCTGCCATCTGTTTTTCAGGGAGTTCAAGACTGCCGTTTGACCGGCCTGAAACCCTCCAAACGCTTCCGCAGGCCTCCAAGGCAACAACTCTTACAGCTACATGCCCCTGCCATCTGTTTTTCAGGGAGTTCAAGACTGCCGTTTGACCGGCCTGAAACCCTCCAAACTTCCGCAGGCCTCCAAGGCAACAACTCTTACAGCTACATGCCCCTGCCATCTATTTTTCAGGGAGTTCAAGCCTGCCGTTTGCCAGCCCGCAAAACCCCCCAAATGCTTCCCTGCAGCTCCCATGCCGTTTGCCAGCTCCGGCATTGTCCTTTTATGGTGGTTCAAGCCTAAACCCCCCAAATGCTTCCTTGCAGCTCCCATGCCGTTTGCCAGCCCCGGCATTGTCCTTTTATGGTGGTTCAAGCCTGCCGTTTGCCAGCCCGCAAAACCCCCCAAATGCTTCCCTGCAGCTCCCATGCCGTTTGCCAGCCGCGGCATTGTCCTTTTATGGTGGTTCAAGCCTGCCGTTTGCCAGCCCGCAAAACCCCCCAAATGCTTCCCTGCAGCTCCCATGCCGTTTGCCAGCCCCGGCATTGTCCTTTTATGGTGGTTCAAGCCTGCCGTTTGCCAGCCCGCAAAACCCCCCAAATGCTTCCCTGCAGCTCCCATGCCATTTGCCAGCCCCGGCATTGTCCTTTTATGGTGGTTCAAGCCTGCCGTTTGCCAGCCCGCAAAAGGCGATGATGAGGCGCCACAACTCGTGGCCCTGGCGCGGCAAGCTCAGCAGCTTCCGGAGATCAGTACCCTTGATTATCCCTGAGTTTCAAAATCAATGATACTCTACCACCAATCATACAATGATAGGAGGCCAAATATGCTTAAAAATATGAACTGAGGTCTGACTTCAAATTTGTAGCGTCATACTCATTGCATACACATTGCACCTTGTGATTGAATTGCGGCATGTTGGGGCATATCAAAACATATATGTCCATGTCGTCCCACCATGTACCACCATCGACCTCAGCACGGCCCGCCGGAAGCGACGCGCCACTGACCCACTGAACCGCTGATGCCGTCGGATGCCGTCGGAGTATCTATCTCTCCCTCTCTATCTATCTATCTCTCCCTATCTATCCATCCATCCATCCATCTATCTATCTCTCTCCCTCTCTCTGCAGGACCCCCCAAATAGGGGGGGTCGGCGGCACCCGGGCGCTAGCCCATTCTATAATGTTTGATATTCAATCCCAATTCTATATCCCAAGCCTGGTCACATAACCTCCCCAAACCATCCCATGGCCACTTGATTTGCAGGACCATTCGAGTTTCTCATTTGTGGAGACCTTTGCAGGTCGCGCAGAGATGACTCGCATGTTTCGCTGTTCCCAGATGCGATCTGCCAAGATGGATCTTCTTTATATGGACAAGGGGGATGGTGGTCAGAATCCAATGGATTTGTGTACGCCTGCTGGTTTTGCGAACCTAGCCTCATATTGTTTGCTCTGTTTCACTAATAGTTGTAATGTCTTCAGTTTAGAAGTTTGGAGCTGTTGCACAAATATGTTTTTATAGTCAGTGTTTGATTAGCTTTGCTCTTTTCGTGTATGATCTTGCGTAGTGCATATTGCACCTGTTTACTCAGGACCGCTCTGTCTGTGATGCTCTGCGGTGATGAGGAGTTGGGATGGCTTGCACACTTTGGTTTAAAGTGTTCTTCTTGGACCACTGTAAATTCTGGCACTTCATCAAGGTCAGCATGCTCTTCCATTGGAAACACTGAATTTCGTAGTGTTCGGGAAGGAAACTGCTTGGCTAGCCGGAGCTTCAACTGTATTATGCATGTTGTTGCATGCATGCACATGTGGATATGGGAACAATAGATCAGCAAACCATGTGTTTGGGGAAAATTGTTTTTTCTTTATGTGGGTGTGTGTGTGTGCGTGTGCAATGTTCCGTCCTTAGGATGATACTTCTGATGATGGTTGCGATTTGCCTCAACGGATGCGTGGTGGTGGAACAACCCCATTCTTCATTCTTTGAGTTCTACCCAAGATTTCGAGAACTGGTCATGATGATTCAGCAATGTAATGGTGCTGTCCCTTGACCAGCAGCCTCACCCATCCCATTTGCCATATCCAGATCTTGTCAGTCCAAGTTACGCAAATTGTTGGTATGGTGCACCCTGCAACCTAAGCTAGGCAGCCAGGCAGTTTGAAACCATGCTGTTTGGGACACACGGGATTTTCTGCACCCAAATTAGAGTGGAGGGGACCCGGGAGGACTTTATCTGGTTACATCCTTAAAGAATCAACAGCTGGGTTTCTCCATTCGATATAATTTGATACTTATCCTTATTAGGTATTAAAAAGTAATTTGGAATTGTTGTTTCATACTAGAACCCATGTGGAAGTTGAACACTGTTTGGTCCTTATTATATTACCACCATATTTGTTGAACAATTCCTACAATATGGATTCCAGCTCACCCATTTTGAAACCAACAATTGTCTTGATATTCCTGCTCGCTTCAGGTCAGCAAAGTGTGCTGGCACATGATCCACTACGGAGGACCTACTCCGAAAAAACATTACGCGCTGTCAAACAGTCCTGACATTTCCAAACTCAACCTTGGGAAATTCTGCATGAAGAAGTGGTTGAAGAAAAAACAAGAGCTTGAAAAAGATGGCCGCCATCAGAAACTGGTAGAGCACTACATAGATTCCAAAGGCAAGAAGAGGTGGAAAGGCACAAAGGCCTTACGCTCGAGTGAGTGAGGGGCTTATTTGTTCCAATCACATGTCAAGATATGTTTTCTGCATTGTGCTTTTGGTGGGGTCACAGTCTTGCTCACCAATCCCAACCATCGCCAATATATTTCTTCAGTTAACACATGGGAACCGTATATAGTGGGAAACCTAATTAATTCAGGAATCGAGCTTATAGTTATATACTTTTATGTTGGACAAAAAATATATCACAAACGGATTCAACAATTTCAAAGGTCATCGCTAGAGCCATGCAGCTCTGTCTTCTAGAATCGCAGCTCCGGGCTAAGGCACTATCCCAGCAAGTTTGGACAGAAATTGGTGGAGATGTTTGACGGTCTGATTTCTACAAAGACCGGCATGCCAATCAGCCCTGCGGTCTTTCCACCAGCCTGCTCAACCTTTAGCCAGATGAGCTTTGATGATATGTGGGATGAGGCCCATATGAGCCAGGTGTGTCACTATGTCCGTGCCGGGAAAGATTTGAAGATTCCCGAAGAGTTTAGAGATTACATTCCCCGAAAACTCTAAGGAGTCTAGGCTGCGCTGTCAAGGTTCCTTTGTTGCCGATCGGTCCCGAAAGAGGCAATAGCAATTTCATGTAGTTCAACATCATCAAAAACACCTTCAAGATACAAATTCAGAGTTTTTAACCCATAATACCCCGTAACCCATAATCAACCGTAACCAACCGTAAAAAAACCGTAGCGAAACTTAATTTAACCTTACTTTTTTTAAAAAAAAACATCTATTTTTATTTAACCCATAATCGTTCCGTAATGAACCCGTAACCAAACATAAAAAAACCTATCTTTTTAAACCGTAAAATACCCATAATTTGGAGACCCGTAATCAACCCGTAAAATACCCATAAAACCCCGTAAAATACCCATAATTGATTATGTTTTTTTTGCATAAAACCTATGTTTTTTTCAATGAATTTAAGATAACTTTTTGTTGAGATTTGAAGGATTTATATTAAACTAAGATCATTTCCAGCTACGTTTTCGGGACCGGCACTTCGCAACAAATTTCAATAGTTGTGGTCAGCCAGCGTTTCGCAAATTCGAAGGCCAGCTCTACATAGGGCACAATTCATCCAATTATATCCAATTTGGTCTTGGGGAGAAAATGTTGAGCCGCAAATTATCAGGTTCATTGATTGCTCACGATGAAATCCATGATATACATCTTCAAGCTGGTGGCAGCGGTCTTGTGATCATTTGCATGCACGACAACCAAATAAAGTTTATTTGTGAAAGCATTTTGGGATCGCGAGTTCCTTTGAAAAGCCCCTGAGTATGTTGTGCCGTGCTGATACAGCCCGGACAATGGTTTCCCGTGCTCATTCCACTACAGATCTTTCCCGTGGCTTATCCCATATTCTGCTGGATTCTGATGCCAAACTTCCTGATAATCTCGAGGAGTTACAGGAGCATCGGGGGTTAATTCAAAGTTTGGAAGGTGTGAACATGCAAGTGGTTGATTTTTGATGACTCTTGCAACGAATGGCCTACATTTTTATATATGTTTTTGGGGCTACACCACCACATCCCTCAGGAGCTGGAACGACAACTGGTTGATTTCGATGCTCAAACCAGTACCGCTGGGGCCCTGTTTCAGTGATTTGGGATAATCTTGTGTCAGGAACATGTTTTTGAATATTTTTTTGGACACAACAAAGCCCTGCCAACTGCGTGGCTTGAAACCCGGCACACAACCAAGAAGTATGATTTTGATTGTTGCTACTGCATGCATGTTCCAAAACCGATCCATTCTCGTCCCCATTCTTTCAAGAGACCAGTTTGATCCTCTGAGGCAAAGTCCTTGGAAGAGTTGCTGAATGACAATTCTCGACCAGTGGTCTCTTGGCTGCTTTGGTTGGCTCTGACTGGGCTCATTTATGGTGTCAGACATGCTAGCTTCAGAATCTATAAGGGGAGCACTTGACTGCCAACGCCTATTCAATGTTGATTTGTTTGGCATGAGTTCTTCTATCTCTTGACTTCGGGTATGGAATAGAAACATCTGAGCATTCCAGGATTATTAAGTTTGACCTTGTGTCCATCATTTACAACAGTTCTAGTTTCAAAGGCGTATTGGGTGGCTTGAGGGTTTGCTTGTTCTGTCCATTGCTTCCTGAGGCTACTCCCCAGAATAAAAAGCTCTACGATGCCGAGACGGTGCCAGCAACGGATTCCCAGGTGGAAGATGCTTTGTCAGTCCCGTCTGGGTCGAAAGGATCACCGGCGCCAACTTCCCCAAGTACGTCAGAGCTTACTTCAGTTTCGAAGAGTCAGGATGATGCCCTTTGATGGTAAATTATGTCATAACTAAAACTTTGTTATGGTTTCATGCAGCTCTTCGACACTAAAAAAATATGTGTTTTGGGTATCGACTTCTTACTGGTATATGCCAACAGTGCGTTGGTACACAGGTAGTAGAACTGTAATTTTCTAGCACCATGCTGAGAAGCTGACAATTCTGTTCGAACTTGACCAACCCCAAAGACAATACAGTTGACTTATAGCAATTTAACATGTATGTTACTGGAGTTTTGTTCCCAACAAGATTATTCAGTTATATAGGGTTGAATGTAAGCAGTAACAGATAATAGTAGTCCTTGGGTTGGGGTTTTGCATATCCCTTGCTAATCCTCAGCCCAAGCGTTTGCCAAGGTCACAAGTCGCATCATGGGCATGTACCGGAATGGGGAGATCGATTCATCCCTTGCAATGCAGCTCCTTGGCGGGGCGCTTGCCACAAGTGAGGATGGAAACTCCAGGAAAAGATCTTTGGATGATGCTTCAGGTCCTGATGAAGTTAAAGCAGCCAAGATTGGCGAAGCCGATCCTGATGCCCCTTCTGTGGAGGAACTTTTGGATCAAGCTAAGAAGGTGAAGAATGACACTAGACTCAATTATATAATATCTATCATATTTTTCTTGGGCAAATATATCATCATAACATTTGGGTTAACGTATATTCTTGATGGCCCAACACTTCATTAAAAAAAATACATATGTGGAAAAACCCAACTTGTGAATTGCCCTATCTTGGTGGCCATTGTCATGGTCAATATGCCAAGGAAGAGAACGCGCTGAAAGCGAAGTTGAGAAGATTGTGTGAGGTGAAAAAGGGTGGCCGTTTACAGGTTCCTGACTGGCTCCACAACGAGTGGAAAAACGGTGACCACATGAAGCTTGCACGCCAATTTGAGGCATGCAACTTCTCGAAGGAGACCATCACCCAAACCTTCTTTTGTATCAATGCTTTCCAAGTGTCAATCTCCATAGATTTGGCCATTCACATTCCAACTTCCAGACTTTGCCAAAGTAAAGATGCATTGCACCCCGCATATCTTTCCTGACAGGATCACTTCATCAAGTACAAGGAAACGACCAGAACTAAGTCGGACTCCAAGTCGAGCAACGTGGGAAACGGCTGGTACTCCCGGGAGGATATGTCTAAGGTTCTGAAGTGGAACAAGACCCTTTCATGCATACAAGTGAAAACCCAGTGTCCCACACATGTATTCCTTCAATCTTATGTGGTAGATGTTGGAATCCAAAATACGACTTCGTAATGATCTGTTAGTATTATTTTGTTTTTTACTGTTCCTGGCCAATGTGCTAAGGAAGAAGATCGACGGCGCCATCAAAGTTTGCGAGGCGGATCCACTCCACTTGGTGAGGACCATCATGCATTAAGTCAAACATTCTGGAACTGCAATTTCATTGGTAAGGGATGTGGATGAATTGTGGTCCATCAGCTGAACAATTTTCACAGGTTACTTCGATCAAATATATATAGTCGCCACTTCATGGGTGAAAATGATAAAAGCCCATTGTTCAAAAAGATCCAATTTACTCCCATATATTCACACACAATCGTTGTACCAGTTCTTAAGGTGATCGCTCTATGACTTCCCATGCAGTCAAAAGCTTTGTGCCGAGTTTCATCGTTCAAATGAATCCAATCCACATCAAATCCTCTTCCCAGTGACCTGGCAGGATGAGGGACCAGCAACGTTGGGAAGCGTTAAGCTCACCCGGGTGGATGCTGATGCAAGTCGTGCAACGGCAATGACTTCGGCTGCAGCTGCCGCAACAAAACAGGCAGTGAAATTGATTTTGCAGGGTTGACATGTCACTAATTTGTGATACTTTCTGAACCGACTGTCTTCTTCAAATGCATGCGCTACTCTGCACATTAGGCCTTGAGATTATCTTTATCGATTCCTCTATATATCTCTATATCTCTCTGCATAGTTATCTGCATGCCTATATACTTGCATGTTTATGTGATGACATCTTTCGTGGCAGGCAACCAGGGCCAAGGATGTGTTCGGCAAGCATGTGGAATCTGTGTTGGCCAAATGCGCCAAAGTGCGAGGGTTGATGGCAGACTTGCAAAAGAACTTCACAGATTGCCCTACGGCCAAAAAGTTTCTAGGTTTAAATCAATGGAGCTACCATGCAACAGTGTTTTTCTTTAAGCCATCATGTGCCCTTTCGCAGCCTCTGAAGCTGAATCTGAAGTGTTCACTGCAGGGCCGTCCACCAGCTGAACTCCGACCTCCAAACCTTGGACACGCAGTACAACATGCTGGGAGATCTTGCTGCGAAGGGTGAAAGGGATGATCACAATCCTGAGTAGCTAAGTAGCACTAAGATGACTTGAAGCTTGGAAATCCAATCGCATGAAATCATTTAGTGATATTTAGTGCATCAACTATTGCCTTCCTCATGTGCCAAAACATGCCTGCAAGGTGGGAACGCGAAGCTGAGAAGGCCATGAAACTTTCCACCTTTGAGTGGCTCATTGGAATTTACTCCTGGGATTGCAATGGTCAACCATGCAACTTTTTTGGAACACGATTTTATTTTGATCAGCATTCCACTTTTCTCTTAGCCTAGGTGCACCAAAGTATCGCAAAGTGAAGCCAAGATTCGGTGACGACCTCAAGCTCTGCAATACTCCGGCCAGCACTTTCTTTCGCCCAAACTCCTTTCAGTCTGCCAGTCAGCTAGATGTGACGAGCCAAAGATGGTTGGGGATCCAATACTTATTCACCTGCCCAGGACTGCAAAAAAGCACTTCAAGAAGGTGGAAAAGGACATTCCTGCGAAGGAAGAGTGATGAGCTTGGGCTATCCATGCTGCTCAGGATACCGTTTTTCAGATCCAAATGAAGATCTTTACAATTTCCTGTGTCAAAAGGATTGTATTACCTAGGTACAATCCAGAATCATGAGAAAATATGATTTGGACGCTCTGAAAGCTGTTGGAATGTCGACGGGATGACAAACATGTGAGCAAATAACTCAACACCTCCTGATATATCAAAATTTTTGGTTTGTTTCCGATATAGTTGATAAATAAAAATGTTGGTTCGACATGGGATCCAACCCTGTTGCTTCTGAAGCGCCAATGATGACTTAGGGTGTTGATGGCTCTGCCATTTCAAGATTCGAAACTCAGCGATGGGGAGAAAAAGTCAGCTGGCAACAATGGCTGTTTAGTATTACCTCAAGAAAACTCCTGAGTGGATTGTTGTTTGAAGGTTAAGAATTCTTCTTCAAGTTCAATGACCCCTTCTACCAACATGTTTTCTCATTTCCCAATGTGACCGTAAACCGTCCTCAACTGCAACTGCCAGGTGTGGCTGGTGCATCAGCCAAACGATTGGCAGCAAACATCGGCGAAGGAGCCAGGATCCCAGGAGGAATTGGTCAAGTCAAGCTACAACCAATTATGTTCGACTGTTGCCTTTTCAGTTCATGTGCTGCAGTTATGGACAAAACCATCCATCAACAACCTTTGTGTCGTCAGGACAAGTTGTTGGCTCTGATATGCTCTGATTATCATCCAATTGTGTTGCAGTGTTGCATGGATCTTGCAAGAACGCACTTGCAAAACTTTGGGGCTTAGATATCAAAACCAAAATACTTCAAACCTAAGGGTCACTTCCCAAATGCTCACAATTTTTTGGTCACTAAAAGTTACAGCCAAACCAAAGATGGAAACTTGGCCCACCATGCCATGGGCGCTTCTGATGATGAGCTTATTGAACTCTTGAGCTGCCATCGGTCGGCATCTTGTCGCAAACAACCATGTGTGCTCCCCTATTGGCACTGGTCAGCGTTTGAAAAAACACAGTGTTTGAAATGGTTTCTTCACTTTGGGTATTATCTTCCCCTGACATTATCTGAGGCAGACTTGGGACCCTATGCTTGGGAACACAAACGTGTGAAAACGGTGAGGTCCACTGCCTCGATTTCAGTGGACCCAAACCCTGTGAAGTTCCAGAATTTACCACTAGAAGGTGATCACTCTGAGAAAGAACCACAAACCAGTGAGTTGAAACTTCATTCGGTTTTTGAGGACCACTACATGCAATATGATGATTTGAGAAATCTGCCACGGTCAATGGATGTTTTTCGGAAAATTGAAAAAGACCCTGTCCTATGGTTACAGCTTCCGAGACCAGCAGCAACGGCAGGGAGAGTGTTGGAACATTCAATCAACACGTTTCAACGGCTGTATTCCGCCAACAAACCCATGACGTTCAAGTTCGGCCTGACACACGATGCTTCTGTTCGCTTTCACAACCGTCGTTTTGGATATGTCACTTCAAAGGATCCATTTGACTATATGTTGGTTCTTTACGCGACCTCGAACTCACATGGGGCTGCTTTTCTTGAAGCAGCGCTGATAAATCAGTTCAAGAGCTCCTTGATTGCAATTATCCTACCCTGTGCTTCCCAGCTTGAGCATTGATACTTTTGTGTGCATAGGCTTGGTTTTTCGTTGCCATTGTGATTGAATTGGTGTCTTTTCATGAGTATGCACTTTAGTATATACTTGACTGTGTCCAAATGAGGCTATCAAGGATGCAAGAATGAGCGAAGCGGTGGTGACACGCTGCACGATTTAGATAGCGGGCCATACCTAACGTATGTTGTGTACAAGTCCTGGAAACGTCCTAGCATGTCTAGCATGCAAGTGAGGAGCACAGCTTATAAACCTAGCACCTGAAAGGCTGGGGCTTACTGTTTACAATTCTTTGTATGCATGTGCATCCGCGTGGCGAAAAGTCACGATCACTAGCTTTGTGGCTGTTTGCAGTACGAAGCAGTTGGTGAAAATGATGCGCTATTCTGGAATCTGATGTGGAAAGTGTTTTTTTCCGCAACATTGTGAGAACCAACAGTGGGGCAAGACTTTTTGGACTGCTCATCCTTCAAGTTTTTTTGTCAGCTTGCAACTTTTCATGTGCTCAGTTTTGCGCATGCCCTCAGTTTTGCACCTTTTGATATCTATCGTATGTCAAAAAAACATGGTTGGATTGGTGGGACCATGGTTGCCAAGGCCAGCAGCATCAGCCAGATCTTGACTGCACAGGCCGTGGCCGCTGATTTTGGAGAGGAAGAATCTGCTAAACGAGGAATTTCACAATGGGCCAAAGCTGATGTAACACACCCAGAACGGGATGCCCACCGGATCATGAAGAAACAGAAAACAAAATTGGACATACCTATGGGTACCATACAATGTGATGGCCACCAGGTTCCTTGGATATCTCCTGAGTCGTGGCTAAAGTACTTGATAGACAAAGGCCTGTGGCCACGCCTGGCTGGCTGTGAGTCTTTTGACTATGCTGGTTCGCGTGAGAATTGGACGACATTCTGGGAGAAATATGAAAAGATCAACCCTGGTTTCGAGCTTTTCCAAATGGAAGGAATAGACCTTTCAAGGACTGCTGCCTGTTTCATTCATGGTGACGAAGGTCGCACTTTGAAAAAGGGAGGAATGCTTGTCACTTCTTTGCAATCTGCTCTTGGACGTGGCTATGATCAGAAGCGGGTTAGAGTCAGGGGCCCAAATGACCGTCAACTTCAGGCGAACTTTGCTGGGCATAGCTTTACGACAAGGTTTGTTGTCAGCACCATCCCGAAGACTGCTTACGAGTCCCAGCCAGAAGTTTTCCATGCTGCTATCGAGCATGTGGCCAAGTCATGCAGCAGGTTGCTTCAGAGTGGGTACGTGGACAAAGCCAGGAATGGCGAGCTGTTTCGGATCGTGATTTTGGGGGTGAAAGGCGATGCTCCATACCTGTCGAAGGTGGCTCATTTCTACAGATCCTACAACACTGTTGCTAAACGGGGTGAAGAAAGAGGTGCACCTAAAGGTTGTTGCCCATATTGCCTTGCAGGTACTACTTTGTGTGCTGCTGAGGAGATAGGTACATCAACACCAAGATGGTTGAGTACAGTTGCTGTGAAGCTTCCATGGACCCGGGAGCCATCCATCATCAAGTACTTGATGCACGATCGAGCTGATCCCGCTTCATTCTTCAAGTCGGACATTTGGCACGTTTTCCATTTGGGTTTTGGGCGCTCCTGGGTTTGCAGTGTTATCCAGCTGCTCCTACCATTTCTGCCTTGTTCGAATCTGGAACAAAAATGGGACTATTTGACTGATCACTACATGAGATGGTGTCGTGCCAACAGCAAACAATCTCACATCAGCAAAGTCAGTGCCTACCTGGTATCTTATGGTGATGCAGGTGGTGCAATGGGCAATTGGCATAAAGGAGCCCTAACGACAAATTTTTGTCAATGGATCGTGGATCTACTGGGCTCAGAAGGTCGTGATCCGGATGGGTTGCTGGTGAAATGTCGAGAGGCTACGTTTCGAGTCAACTCTTTGTTCAGTATGCTGTACAAAGCAGGCGCGTTTCTGGGGGAATCTGAATGCGCGCATGTTGCTGAACAAGGTCTACGCTTTTTAGCAGTCTACGCAGAACTTGCGTTGAAAATGTACAGAGCCAATCGGCAATATCTGTTTCCGTTATACCCAAAGCTTCATATATGGCACCATTTGGTTTTGGCTGTGAAACAGTCTGGGGAGCGCAATCAAAGCGCAATCAACCCCACAATGTGGGGATGCCAAATGGAAGAAGACACAGTGGGCAGAGCCTCGAGGCTCAGCCGTCGAGTAAATATTCGACGGGTGGCCTCGAGAACTTTAGAAAGATACTTAGTGTCAGCCTACACGGCATTCTCAAAAGCTGGGCTGTTGTCTTAGAAAAGGCATTGCATTGTGGCGTTGAGTTGGTGAACCGAATCTTTTTCCTTGATCGGATCAACAGTTTCTGAAAATCTTGCAAGATCTTTCATCTACATTTTATTTTTCCGTTGCTGCTGGTCTCAGGCAGCTGCACTGGGATGTGGATTGTTGATCACCTTCATTGATGTTTACCTTCCACAATGGGGTTTAACATAATTTATGATAAATGGTCATTATGGGGGAAATGATAAAACCCTACTTTTTTTAAAATAACCCTACTTATTTTGAGCAACCCTGAAAAAAGAAGGTTAAAAGATATGAAGGTATATATATATATATATTGTATATACACATATAAATATATATCTGTATATATGTAAAAATATAAATATATACATATATATATAATATGTATATATATATATATACATGCATTTCCGTACATCTCTTGACTTCCTTTTTAAATTGATTTCTTACTTCTCGTGCTATGCCTGCTCTTTTCTATTTCTAAAATTTTATTACATCTTTAATTATCTCTTCACCTTGTTTTCTCATGTTCTCTTGCTGTGCCTCCTCGGGCCCCGAAAGAGGAGTTCGGGCTCGGGCCCCGAATCGGGCCCTCAAGCGCGCGTTCGGGCCCCGAAAGGTTCCGAAAGATCAGCTCAGGATAGTTCAGGTACCAAAATGTAGAGTCGGATGTCTACTTTCTTAGCTATCTCTATATATATATATACACACCAGTAGTACCGCACAAGGCGGTGGCGCAAGTTTCAAAGATGGAAAACCTATAGGAGAGGTGAGTTGGTGTGGCGCAAAAATGGCAGAGCGAACCCACTGATGGATTGACAGGTGGTTGAGTGTTTCTGCCTTTCTGTCTCTCTTTTTCTCTTTCTCTCTGTGTCTCTCTTTCACCATCTATCTACAGAGTTACCTTTCTAGCCATCTACCTATCTACCTGTCTATTCATGTAGCTATCGTTCGATTTGTTTATTCACCTAACTATTAAACTCTCCATCTTATCTTTCTGTTCCACTTACTTCTCCGTGTTAGTTTTTTTTCCGTCCATCTCTTCATCGATCCATGTCCACAGCTATCCATCACCATGTTCTTCGTTCTGTTTCTCTATCAATTCATGCATGCATCTGTCCGTCTACCTCTTCTTCCAGTTTTCCGTCCATCTATCTAGCTACCCATGCGTTTATTTGGTCAAAGACGCTTCTAGCAATCTTTCGATCTAGCGATCTATGTGTCCATCTGTCGATCCATCTACCTGTCTATTGATCGATCTGTCAGCAAAGACAGACACGTTGCCCGGCACCGAATTACGGATACTGAGGCGTCATCGCGTGCTATGAATTACGGATGCTGAGACGCCATCATGCCGTCGGAACAGACAAACACGTTGGCGTGCAAGGAATTGCGGATACGGATGCAACATCGGGCCGTCGATAAAGACGACGCGTTGACGTGCAATGAATTACGGATGCTGCTGCGAAATCGTGCCGTCAGAAAAGACATGTCCATCTATCTATCTATCTATCTATCTCTCTCTCTTTCATCTGTCTATCTGTGTAGCTGTCTACCTGTCTATCTGTCTATCTATCTATCTATCTGTCTATCTCTCCGTCTATCTCTCCGTCTATCTATCGATCAAACTGTCTCTCGATCTATCTGTCTATCTCTTGATCTGTCTGTCTATTTGTCTATGTATCTATCTATCTATTTATCTATCTATCTTGGTATCTAACTATCTGTCTATGTGCCTATGTATCTATCTGTCTATCTATCTATCTATCGATCTATCTATCGATCTATCTATCTATCTATCCATCTATCTATCCATCTATATAATCTAAAAATGTATCTATCTATCTATCTATCTAGCTATCTATCTATCTGTCTATCTATCTATCTATCTATCTGTCTGTCTGTCTGTCTATCTATCTATCTATCTAGCCATCTAGCCATCTATCTATCTATCTGTCTATCTATCTATCTGTCTATCTATCTACCTATCTATCTATCTATCTATCTATCTATCTGCAAAATCAAAAACAAAGAAATTCTGCGGGACTTCCGTCATGTTTGAACATAAGAACGTCCAAAGCGGAACAATTCTGCGAGACGTCTTCATTTTTTGAACTTGACAACATCCGAAACGAAGCAATTCTGCGAGACTTCCTCATTTTTCGAAGTGCAAGACATTAAAAACGAAGAATTCTGCGAGACGTCCTTCAAAAATGGAAAGTTGAGTGCAGAGCTGACAGCCCCGTACCAATGCGTTTTGCGATTTTTCCAGTCCACCTGTCTAAAGTACTGCGCCTGCCAGGGAAAATTGATGCCAGGTCATACGAAGTGCTGCACCTGTCACGCAAAATCATCTTAGCAAACCTGCACATCTGATACTCCAAAATGCAACCCCTCTCAAGAAATCGACTCCGGCTGACTCCGGCTGACTGCGGCTGACTCCGGCTGACCGGCTGGCTCCGGCTGACTGCGGCTGACTGCGGCTGACTCCGGCTGACTGCGGCTGACTCCGGCTGACCGGCTGGCTCCGGCTGACCGGCTGACTGCGGCTGACTCCGGCTGACCGGCTGGCTCCGGCTGACCGGCTGACTGCGGCTGACTCCGGCTGACTGCGGCTGACTCCGGCTGACTCCGGCTGACCATCCGACTCCGGCTGACCATCCGACTCCTGCTGACTCTGGCTGACTCCTGCTGACTCTGGCTGAGTCCGGCATGTAGACTTTTACTAAAGAAAGAGTGGAAGATAGCAAAGGGCAGATGCAATGCCATGTTGGGATTTTTATGACTGGAAACAAGAGATAATTATTCTTTTCAAGCTTTTGACGTTGCATATGTCCTGTATGGGCGGCCACGGTTTCCAGGGGCTGTCCCTTTTGTGCCACTTTCATGTGCGGATCTGCCGCGAAGTTCTTGTGTAAAGTTCTTTGTGAACGAAGGAGCGATCACAATTCAGAACGTGAAGTTCAGCTACAAACATAACATGTTAAACCAATTCGGGAAAAAGGGACTTGTAGATCAATTTCATAAAGACAACTTATGCTTGCACTAACATGCTCGCGTGGTTTACTTGTGTGGCGTAAGCACGATGCGAAGATAAGCGTGGCACACTGATTGCAATCAATGACGTGTGTGACATATAGTTGTGGAAGATCTAACTATACAGAATAACATGTAAAAACAAACTTGTAAGTGGGGAGCCTTACCTTTTAGCATCCATGTCCATGTCATGAAATGTCAATTGACCGATGGTCATAGCAGCCATTCTATTTTTAGAAGGCCATCTGAAGGAAAGCCAATGAAGGAAAACCAATCACATATCAACTGGGTGTGTGGGATTCCCGTTTAAAATTCAGGGGGAGACGTTGTGAAAGCAAAACGTGGGCACTATACAGAATCTATACCGTCAGTCTGCAAGGTTAAAAAGTTTAGAGGCAAAAAACAGTAAACTTGGCAATTCACTAGTGGCATTTTTTGGTTAAAACATGCAAATAAATGGGAATATTGAGATGGAATCGTTTTTTTCCAAGCACGATCCGCAAAAGTTTGCGTGAAATATCAAGACCCCTGATTCAAAACAGTTTTGTTCTTTCTGGAAAAGAGCACCGCGCACAAACAAGTGGAACTCTTCACGTCCCGAAACATGCCTTTTAAAAAGGCAACAACTTCTGCCTTCAAGATGTTACATGCGTGAACTCATTGAAAAAATGTTGTCCACAAGAATTTGGATTATATATGATATCAGCAAACATAGCTAAAGTCACAAAGGATGGATAAACGGACTTGTTGCTGCCAAGTGCTACGCATGACCTTACTTGAGAAAATGCTTGATGACAATTACATGTGCTTTATATACTTGTCGGCTGATCTAATTACAAAAGCACTTCCCTTGAGAATGTTTTCAGTCGACTTTACTTGATCCATTTCACTGAACTTTACGTCTGGATATGTCCAATGATTTTAATCTGAACTTCAGTTCCATGGACTTCACTTGACATTCTTTTCCATGGACTTTACTTTACTTGATATTCAATTCAAATGGAATTTACTTGACATGATATGCAATGAATTTACCTCAGCTGATATTCAATAACCTTTACGGGAGATTGCTTTCCGTGGGCTTTACTTTTGATTGTCTTCAATGGACTTACTTGAGACACACCCCAGTTGAATTTTATATGAGACTGCCTTAAGGGAACTTGGGACGCAATTCAACGAACTTTACTTGAGACTGTCTTCAATATACAATACATGAGATTATCTCTAGTGACTAGTTAACTTTGTCGGAGATGATGTTCAAAAGACTGCAATTGTGCCGACCTTGTGCATGTATTTGTGTTTGTGTGTGTGTCAGGTCTCATGTATTTTCTTGCGCATACCAGACTTCATCAATGAAGACGCTGTGGATTTCACAACGAATGTGACGAAGAAATTGTGCAACGTCGCACGTAATTATTGTGCACCTTTGATGTGTTTTAAATGCACAGCATTTGCATTTTTGAAAAACGTCATGTGCCTTCATGTAATTTGGTAAAAGCTTCATGTAATATTAGCACAATTACATGAAGTCTGAAAAATTGCAGATAAAGTGCCTATACACCGCATCGGAAGCACATAAGCAATGACATAGGAAATGCAGAGAACTTCACACAAGTCTTAACTGACTTTCTTTGGTCCCAGTAGTTTCCATCAAAGTTCAACTAGACTGGCATGAAACGCTGCGAGGATTTGTAAGGGTTAAAGTCCAAATTGTTGTTCTTTTAGTGGGTTTGCTGTTTAGAGGGTCAGAAGCATAAATTTCCCGCCGGACCGGAAACCATGTTCGTAAAAGCACGTGTTTTCAAAAAATGAGTATGGCACTGTGGCGAAACCAAAATTTGGGCGTTTTCGCGTTTTACCACAGTAAAAGCTCATTTTCATCGGATGGTTTTCGTGGAATCTGAAAAACAGCACTTTTTCGTCAGAAGATGCGCTTCAATGCTTCAATCGTCTTC